ACAAGCAAGTGGGGGGAGTAAACAGAACTCCCCCTGCTTCATGTCAGGGAGTGACCCAGGGTTGAGAGTGCCTGGATGTGTGTCAGGGACCGACCCGGGGTCGAGAGTGCCCGGGTGTATCACCCAGGGCTGAGGGTCCAGTAGGGTGTGATGCGGGTGCATGTAACAATGGGCCCGAAGCAGACAAGGGTCCCTGGCCACTCAGGCCAAAGTGGGAAGTGTGTTATTGTTATTAACAAGGGAAATGTAAGCTACTTGCCTAAAGTGGGAAGTGTGAGAAGAAGGTTGCTTCTCAGTTCCCATTTAGGCTGTGTTTATATACATGTGGTTGAGGCCATGTGGGAAGTGCCACATCATCTACACACACAGCCACATCTGTCCGGGTACCTCTGTAAGAGGTCCCAGGAGCGTCCAGTATGCAGGAGGTCATCTGGTGTGTCCAGGTCCAGGTGCATTACACTGCAGCCAGGTCAATGGTACATTGATACAAGGAAGTCGTCTGTGTGATAAGAAAAGAATAAAGAGGAAAGAGAAGAGAAGAGAGAGGAGAGAAGAAAGAGAAGAGTAAAGGGGAAGAGGGGGGAGGTTGGGAGGAGCAGATGGTGGGGCACTGGGTCAGGTGGGGCCGGGTCAGGCAGGTGTGCCCTGACAATGTGTCACCCAGCACTGAGGGCCCAATAGGGTGTAACACAGGTGCACATACTAGCAGGCCTGGCACAAAGGGGCATCCCTGGCCACTTAGACTACTGTACCTGCATGACCAATTACCAGCTGAGGTTCCGAGTGTGACACAAAATAGTCAACTGGCTTCTCCTTGTGACATGTGACAAGCAACCAGAAGAGGTGGCAAGGTTGGTGTGACACCAGCCACAGTGGTGCTGGAAATGTCCAACTGGCAAATTTTCATGTTGATACATTTTACACCAAAGAAACTACCTTGCAGATGGCTTTTGTTTTCATTGAATTTAATTCGATTTCGCACAGCCACTTAGGTGCCAAAAAAATGGTGTGACAAGGATCATTCAACTGGAATGTCAGTGTGATGTGTGACAACAGCCCACTTACAGCCAGACTGGAAGGTGCATGTGATGCATGACCAGTAATGTCGGAAAATCCTGTTAGAATGGGGCGGAAACGGACGACTCCGGAGTGGAATCGGAGACTTAGCGTGGAGGGACCTTGGCCTCAGCGACTCAAGCGGAGTGCTGTGCCATTGCTGTTTGTCCATTTGGTCCTTAATTTCACAGTAGGTGAGCAGGAAGTCTCTTGGGGGCATTTCAGGTCGATTTCGGACTAAACCAAAACGAGTATGTACAAGTGCCGATATATATAATGGAAGGGGCAAAAGCACAAAGAGAACAAAGGGTGACCGAATCGGAACGAAGACGTCCGAACGGGAACAAAGGGTAGAGGGAGCGGAGCGGTACCGAAGGTCATAGGGCAAGACCTGTGATACGTCCGAAAGGAGGTAGAGAGGGCGAGGCCCAGAGGGGCAGGAGGATGAGGGGAAGTGGGGATGATGACTAACTGGCTAGAATAGAAAGAAGCAGTAGTCCAAATAGGGATGAAGGGAAAATGTGAGAAATACATTACAGGCGGCGAGAGCGCCGAAGGCGGTCCGCGAAGCTTGGGGGTTGCGGAGCTTACAGAGGTTACGGAGGCGGGGTTGGAAGTCCGAGGAATATTGGCAATGGTGTTTACGTAGTATGAGGTCACCAATGCAATGGACTAAGGCCAAGGTGGAGTCAAAGTCCGAGGTGGGGACTATGACGGAGGCTCGGAGTAAGGTACGAGCGGTGTCCGAGTGCGAAGTACGGAACAGCGGTGGAAGGTCGTAACTTGGCGGAAGGGTGGCGGAGGAGTAATGGAGGGAGGAGAGAGGGGACAGGTAAGGTAAGAAGGAGTGGTGGAAAGGAGAGTAGTCAGGTCCGAAGGTGAGTATCGGAGCAGACGGGGGAAGCGTAGGAGGATAACGGGAGGGTGGAGGTGTTGTGAAGGGGGAGCGGAGTAGTAGGAGGGTGGTGAGAGGTAAGGAGGAGGTGTGTTGCCAGGACCGAAGGTGAGTATCGGAACGGCAGCGGTAGGTTATGACTCCGGAGGTGAAGAGGGTGGAGGTCCGGAAGTCGGGTCGGGGTCGGGTATGCACGGATATGACAAATCCCATATATCGTTTAAACACCTGGGAAACGTTTCATGGCATTTATTTACAACAACTACCCAACAGCCAATGAGAATACATTGGTTAGATGTGGTGGTTGGTACTTTATGTGTTATATGAGATGGATTTTTGACAATTTTGATGCTGTAGGAAGCATTTATGACACATTTATTAAGTTATTAAAAACATATTCAGAGCGTTTGAGGGGTATAAAAATGCATTCAATAATATCAAAAAATGCCATAAACAATTTATCACAATGTTTAGATGCCAAAATTCATGTTGAAACATCAAATTTTGGCGTTTTAAATGTCAAGTCTCGTGCTTTTGATCGATCTCACGATTTTCTGACAAATTGGTCATGTGGGTACAGTAAAGTGGGAAGTGTGAGGAGAAGGTTACTTCTCAGTTCCCACTTAGGCTGTGTTTATGTACATGTGGTTGAAGGTCATGTGGGGGGTGCCACATCATCTACGCACACAGCTGCATTTGCCCAGGTATCTCTGTGAGAGATCCCAGGGGCGTCCAGTGTGCAGGGTGTTGCAAGTGGGAATCTGCTACTGTCTCCAGAAAATGGAAGGTAGCACTCCAACTCACTCCCCAAAAAGCCAGGGAAGAAAGAGAAAGGGGGCTGAAAGGGTGTTGCGGTAAGAACAGGTCTGTATAATCAACAGGAGGGGGGGGAAATTTTGGGGAAATATATAACTCTGGTAACTCTTGCTTATCTTCTTTCCATGGTGGATTTCCCTAAAGGTCACGATAGCCCTTTACTAATCGTGTGGCCACTCACAGCACCCAAGTACATGGACTTCAAAAGTAGCAGGAGGGGGGGAAAATCGCCTATTCTGTTTCAATCGCTATGTACATATATCCATACAGAAATCATACAATTTGTGAAAAGAGTCCGAAATATATGGGTTTGGCTGAGCTAAGCCTCCACCAACAATGGTGGTAAGTGCCATTGACTTAGAATAAAATTCCAAACAACAAAAGAAATTGAAAAGGAGAACACAAACTTCCTCATACCACTCCAAACACTGTGTCAAACCTCCATCCCTTTATTCCATTCGACTCTCCTTATCCAAGCTTTCTAACGATACCGATTTTGTGAAATTTGGTGGAGATTTGACTGAGAACGGGAATTCTCAGAAGCGGTATACATATCTCGATTATCCGTGCACAGGGAAACTTGGTCCAAATAAAATGCCATAATTCCAAGACTCCTCCAATGACTTCTTCAGCATTTATATTATTTGACTAGCCCATATTTTTCATTGAGACTAGCTCACACATGAGCATCTGAACAGTTCATATTGTCCTGTGACTCCCATCATGCCTGACAATCAGAATATCTCCACAACCACTGCACCGATTAGGGTGAAATTCAACACTGAGTCCTTGGAAATTTTTATGGATTTAATAACCCCAAGATCGTCCTCTTCCATCAACTTTTGACCTTGTTCCCATGGTCGTGGTCAAGTGCACGGACTTCACACATGAGGACATCTCAGGTTGAATTTCTCCACCAAATCTCAACCAATTCCTTCGCGGAAAGACTCTTTTGGTTCGTATGAAAACCATCTTTCTTCTTTCTTATTACTCCCTCCTACGATTCCTTTTTCCTAATAATGTACAAGTGCAGGAGCCCAATTTTGACGTTTTGCTGCATAAGGTTCCATGAAATTGAGCCCACCCATTATGCACTCCTACAGCATCACCCAGTGTGTCTGGGTCCAGGTGTGTTGTGCAGCCAGGTTAATGGTACATCAATGCAAGGAAAGTTGTCTGTGTAATAGAAAGGAAAGAAGAAAGAAGAAAGGAAGAAGGAGAGAGGTGGGAGGAGGGAAGAAGGGAGGAAGGAGGGTGGGGGCACTGGGTGAGGGTAGTGGGATTGGGTGGGGCTGGACCAGGTGGAGTGGGGTCAGGCAGGTGTGCCCTTACACTTCAGCAACTTAAACCTCAGCCATGGTAGAGGCAAGTTAGGACCCAGGCAGTTGGTCACCCATCTTGTTCCATCAGCACTGCAGCAGTGCAGAAAGAGACAGACAGCCCCAGGTTGCATGTGCCTGGTCCGGATTATTCCCATGAAATAGAATATTAAACTGGAATTCATCACATATCTTGGGGGATATGAAAGCTCAGCAAGCATGACATTATATTGCATTTGAGGGAGCATTTAAGATGTGTAAGTGGTTGGAACAGTATTTCTAATGATGTCAAGAAGGGGGAAAGGAATTGGTACGATGATGGCATCAACAAGAGAAGATGTGGTGCTGGAGGTACTCTCCAAAAGTGTAATCCTGCATCACGAAATCATGAGGAGTCATGACATATCACAAAATTTCATGACCCCTCATGACATGTCATGACAGTTGAATTGAATCAGACATTTTTTACATTCAAAAATTTGAATTTCATGACAGTGACAAATTGTCATGAACTGTCTGTCATGTGCTGACAAGGTTCATGATGGCTGGTGACACAATTTGACATGATGCCTCATGGAGGTTCATGAGTGGTCATGATATTCATGAATGTTCATGAATGTTCATGACCCATCATGATGGGTCATGGAGTGTCATATGTTTATTTTGACCTTTCCTCATCATGTAAAATCCTATAATGTTCCATGATGCATCATGGACATTCATGATCCTCCATGAACATGTATGATGGGTCATGAGCATGCATGAATATGCATGAGATGTCACAAGCGCTTATGAACTGTCATGTGACATCATGTGGCTGTGTTAAACTTTCGCGCTTGCTACCACCTCACACTCACACAACTATCACTGCACCCTACTGTGCTTTATTTGAGCTTGAATATCAATCACCTCTCATGGCTCACCCTTTTGGTCAACAATCAGAGACTGGGCAGCGTAGGAGCACCAGGATTCGTGACAAAGGGAAACCCACCCCAGCCTCAGGCAGCCAGAAGAAGGCCCAGGATTCAACCTTGGCTAGTGGCTCTAAGCGACAAAACACTAAGATGACCTCTGCAGCTGCTAAGACTGGGACTGGGACTGTGGCTGAAGGTGATAATGATAATGACCCGGCACTGGGCCCCTCCATTGCCCCTCCAGGTCGAACTCGCAAACGGGCTGCAAGCCCAGAAACAAAAGTCCCTACTGCACCTTCCTCTACAGTCCAGGCAGCTAAAGCAGGAAGAAAGAGCAAAACAAGATGTGAGCCAATTTTTCTTTGCAAAAATAACTTTAAAAAATCAACTCCCAACCCTTTCGGATAGGATTCCAAAGGGAAGGGTGCTACTCAGCAAACACACTTTGCTGAGGGAGTCACTGCAATTTCTGACTCCATGTCTGAATCAGCAAAGTCCAAATCAACTCTTCAAATTTCGGTAAGTTTTAACTTACTTAATACATACCTGAGAGTAAACCCTTATTATTACAGGATACTGCTCCAAGTGCAGTGGACACTGAAAGCAGAGATGATGCAACTGGTGACTTTGAAGAGTTCGATATCCCCAGCAGTGATGAGGATGTTGATGAAGACAGAAACAAACAGGACGAAGATAACAAAGAACAAGATACTATTCAGCTTTTGAGTGGTATGTTAAATGTTAATAAATGCTCCCATTATCCAGGAATTAACTCTCCCATTATTAGGATTGAAAGTTACAATCCAATTCATTGGTCCTGGGTCATCTCCACAGAACAATGTAATTTCCCCCTATAGCCATGCCGCTTGGCCATCCACTCAGGTTGAAGTGGATGGATGGAGTGTCTTGATGCAGGATATTCTTTCCACTGCCCAGGAGTATCTAGGTACTGATCAGATTACAAGTGAGTTTCTATCTCTAGTTGTCATAAACCCAAAGTTTCATTTTTTTCCCAATGATTTACTCAGATGAATCTTGTATCTCATACCTGGATGGCAAAGACACTATTCAACTTGGAAAAGTTGAGAGTGACTCTTGCAGGACATATCATATCCATATTCTTCATGAACATCGAAGGATTATTTACATTTATAACTCAACATCCACTCTTACCCAAACTACTCAGCTTGGCCCCTCTATTCCTCACCCCAATCCAATGAATCCCACTATCCCATATACACCACCTACTGAACCAGCCCCTTCTGCCACAATTGGAAAGGCTTCCCTTGGGGAACTCAGTAACCTCTGGAAGGTGCGGCAAACTACGGAGAAGCAGGCCCAATTCAATGCTTTGAAGGACTCTCACCATACAACAGCTTGCAGCATTTATGAGACACTAGCAATTGTGAAGGAGTTCACTCAATCTGTTCCAATTATTGTTATGGAAATGGGATTTTCCCATTTTTAGCCTCTTATGGGCTCTATGCAGTACAATATTACGTGACATGTAAATAATAACAACCTAACCAACTATTATCACCCAAAACACCCGATGTCCATGTTATTGTAAACCCCACTGTTACAACATCTGTTACATTAATTGTAACATCTTCTCAATGTCACGGCCCCCTCCTGCACCCGGACGCTATAGAAATGGGCCAATTAGGCCCCATTTTTATAACAATTATCCCTGCTTCCTTTCCTGGACATGGAAAGGTTGTCCCTCTCTGAGAGCTCTATATCGCTGTGACTTCCTGTAGTGACAGTACTGTTGCTCGCCATCTTATCATCTACAGTACCTACATGGAGTTCCAGAACAACCCTCGGGCACGTCGTCTTGAATCAGTATGGGACAATGAACCAGTCAAGGACCTCAAGTATGCATATGATGATCCAAACTCTGAGACAAAGGTTCAGAGCCTCCAAGAAATCATCACATATCTCAAGTATCTCAAGGCAAATGGGGTGGAGCCAAACCAGAATAAGTAATTCTCAGTTTGTCATTTCTCAATCAAATTTTTGAGCAGAATGATTGTAACATTAGGAAATCCAATGTGTACCTACCTTTCAAATTGAGGAATGTTTTCAATGTCTTTGTACTCCTGTGTTTCCTGCCTATGGTGTATGCTTCAACTGCAATGGGCCTCACAGAGACATTCACCTCAGCAACTCCAAGGATCATGGGCTATGCTATGGCTGTTATTCTTATTTTCATCTTGCGCAATGGGGAATATCTCCATCACCATTATCTCCAATCCCCAGCAACCCTTAATCCCAACTTTCCATCTGTATGGATACGTCGTCTCAGTGCCCACCTATTCTCCCAGGACTCACTTGCCCTTCCTCAACTGGACCAAAAGACCCAGAACTATCTTATCCTTGAAGCTGCAAATGGACTTGGGCTTTCACATGAATTCCTTTCAGACCCACACCTCATTCATCCACAACCAACCCTGTTAGGACCCAGTTATTTTGACTGCCAAGTGTGTGGTGGATGGTTGAAGCAAACTAGACAATGTGTGGATATATGGATTTTGGAGGATAATGGTGTCTACATTGGCCAGCTTGCACAGGGAAACTGCCAGTCCTGCAATACATCTCACTTTCCAGATCGCTATTGCACTTCCATCAATGGGAAACTTACCAATATCTTTAATCCTGATGCAGCTTATCTCTGCATTGGAGGTAATATCTGGATTAATCGGCAAGTTGCTCAAACTCAGTCCAATTTATGTTATACTGCACATATGTCATCTGAGGGCTTTGCATCATTCTATTCACAGCGATATGGGAAGGATAAGATTTCCCTCCTTCCAAAGCATACATGGAAGTTATTTGTCTTACATGAGTCCCTCAAGTTGTGCAAAGCTACCAATCATGAGCTTGTTCTTCCATCACACACAAGCATCACAGCTTTGGCTTCAAAGATGCAAGAAAAAATTTTCCCTGGAGCTGTCAAGACAATCCAAGGTGCACTTGCTCATCAGTGTGCTCAGTGCTTCCACCCATACCGATCCCTGCAAGATGGAACTGCAGTATGTGATCTACTGACTATTTTTACTTCCCCTTGCTAACTCCTTCCAACCAGCAAGTGACAATTAATGATGATCAGGAGGTTGATATGATTGTGGTGGATGGCATTTGCATGGGACATTGCCTTTGTGCAATGCCTAAATGCCCTAACCTTCCACTTAATTTTCACTCAAAGAAACTCTGTGCAGAACATGAAAGGAGTAGGGGCCATTTATGTGGCATAGTCTCTTGTCAGAATCCACATGTAACAGCCCCCTTGAACTCTGGTGCTTGTCTCCCTGACCATCAACAACGCTGGGAGGCATTCTCTAGAACTGTCAGGGCAATAGCCCTGAACCCCGAGCCACATGTAATTAGATACATATAGTCACGTGGGTAAGCAGGAACCTCTGGGTAACTGCTTACACACTACTGTAAAATACACACATTTGTATCACTTACGGCTCTGTGTGCTGAGCTACCCCAGAGACCTCACACTTTTTTAAGTGTATGAGGTGTGTTTTACAACACAACCCACAAAAGACTATCCGCTCTTAACATCTGACTCGGTAGTGCCTATGGCACCTAAACACGCCCGCAAGGGCAAGGTCACATCTGCAGCGACGCTAAAAAGAAACGAGCAGTTTATTAAGAAACTGCAATCTCCCATCATGGGAGATTCAAACCAAAAGCCATCATCAGACGACAATGAAGATCAACACAATCGGGCAGTAGCAACCACCTCAGGGCTGGCCCTTGAAGGCTTTAGAAACTTATGTGGAGTAAGTGCGGGGCCTAATACCCCTAGAACTCCACGACATACCGATCTAACCCAAGCTGGGGAAGCTCCCTCACCTCCTCACAAGGTGATTGACTTGTGCGATAAACGCGTAAGTGCCGAACGATCAGCCCAAAAAGCTGATCGGATAGAGTCGCAGGAAACCCCAGGGCCCAACTATCCCCTGGAGTCTGTCAGGGTCGTGCGTGCTCGCAACGAAGGATGCCCCAGAAACCTAATTGATATCAAAGCTGGGGGACATGCCCATCCCACCACACGGTCATATATACACGGTAGAGGCGGTAACTAGTCAACTAGCTAATAACTGGTAGTATCAGATCAAGAATGATAGAAGATCATGCGGCATTATAACCGACAGCCGCAGATCAGATCAGATCGGAGATGAAGAGGAAGAAAAGAAGTAGAAGTTGATGGAGATATGGGTCATGTGGCAATGCGCTACTTACACTAGCGACCCAAAGGCATGCCCTGACAGAGTCCCCCCTCATGTCCCCAAGTCAAGCCCCAAAGGCAGACAAAGGGAAACAAAGGGAAGAGCCCCCGCATCGGCTATCCGAAAAACTACTGGACTTGTTCCAGGTTCCGTCCGAATGGAGGACGGAAAGCGAAGACCAACTTCTTCTCAGGCTGAAAGCCCGAGAAGGCACGAAAATACGCCCTGAGAGCAGGATCTCCCAGAGCGCGGAAGCTCCAAAAGAACTTCCACTGTTTACACTCCCACACGCCATGCCAGACAAGGCAAGGTCACCAACCTCAGAGGAGGTCTCCGAGATAATGAAAAGGAGGCGAACTGAAATGAGGGAGTTCGCTGAGGAAGCCTTACGGAAAAGTAAGGAAAAACCAGCGAACAGACCCCTCTATGAAAGGGAAGCACCCTCCGCAATGGCCTTGCCTAAACAAAGCGAGCATGGAGTGTTCACTCCAAGAACCCCTTCTGGAACCCCCAGAAGCGGTAATGTCAACTGGGGAGAGTCACTGCTCACCCAACCAAACTTCCTCCTGGAAAACCAGGAATCGTGCATAATAAATGCAATAAACTCGATCCAAAAAAAGATCAAGGAAATGAACCACAATAGTACAGCTCATCTAGAGATAACTCTAGAAAGAATGGCCAACGCAATTGACGTGTTGACTGAAAAAATCAGCGAACAGACAGACTTGCTGAAAGAAATAAACTTCTCACAAAAAAGTGAGGAAACAAATAAACACCCCGGGACCACGGTCCAGGACATAAATAGAACTCATGAAAAACTCATGAAAAGAACCACCAGTGAAAGCACACTGGAATATCATCAGCGACTTGACTCGACAGAGACGCTAAGGAGATCCTTCTCCCAAGGATAGGAGAAGACGATGCTGAAAGAAGGCATCGTTCAGAGATTAGGAGGAGAATTGGCATGTACCAAAGGTTCGGCCAAACGTCCACCTACGACAGACCTCTCGAACAGAGAGGTAACTCAAACACACACTCTCAAAACAATGAGAGAATCCAAATACAACTTCAGGCGAACTCGCCTGAAACCAAAGAAATGCTGTGAGGAAGATTTCCCCCAGCAAAAACCCCCCCAAAGGAGAGATCTCCATTGGATAGCGACCCCGTGAAGGCAGGGGAGCAAGAGGAGTACCTGGAGAAATGGTATGAAAAGGCCATAAGAATGGCCGAAGTGAGAATACTCACTCCTTACCCAGAAGGAGTGAAGCCTGAAGCCCTAAAAAATGGGCCGGCATTCCCTGACAAGAAATGGTCAGGGGAGAACGACATGGAATCGTTCTGGCAGTGGTTCACAGAACTACTAGGATTCCTCGCTTCACGAGGATGCAAAGGTCCCCAATTCGACGAAGTCCATTTGGACTGCTTGATTCGTGGATTGGGGGGCCTGCGTTCGACCTCGGAATAAGACTCCGAGACGAAACTCTCCTCAGAGGAGACGAGGGCATGTTCCTCGAAGTTCTCAACATATTGATGAGAACTTTCATTAAAGCCTCTGCCGCATTGAACACGACAAAGAAGTACCGCAACGTCAAATACAAAGTGGAGAAAGGCCTAAAACAGTTCTACCTAGAACTGTCCAAAGCAGCGTCCCAGATGGTGATGCCGCCAGACCAGGTGTCCTTCAATGCCAGGTTCTGTCACGGCTGTGCATTCCAGCCCACTCCCCACCCGTCCCGATGCCGCCCGAGCCCATTCCCGCTATGCGAGCATGAGCGCGAGCCCTGACCTCAGCCCTATCTTCCCTGAGGACTCCCTGCTCACTCCCCTGCTTGCCCCTAGGCTCCCCTGCACCTGGCCAACTCCCCCACAGCCACACCAACCTTCCCGCCCTACCCCGCCCACTCGGCCCCTACAGGGCCACTACCATGATTCCCGCGCCCGACTCCGGCCCAACTCCGAGTCCAGCGCTGCTACGATACCATTGCCGCTATCGTGGCCCTACACTCCTTCCTTTATTTATCTGTTATTGTTTGTTTTGACCCTCGGTCATTGCTGGCTGCTGTGCAGCCAACCCTGCCCCTTATTCATGTTTGCTTCCAGACCCTTCGGCCTTCGGCCCGGGTCTGCTTCCATTCATTCCTTCCTCCTATATATATCCTGTATACTACATTATAGTACTTTAGCTCTAATATCGATGTAACCACAACCCCTAAGTCCTGACCCCAACAAGGCAACCCCAGTGAGTCCGAAATGAGGGCCAAGAGACAGCTAGGGGGTACAGCGCTCCTTTAGAGTCGCTGAGGCCAAATGCCCTACCCTCGGGCCTTGTTCAGGGCATCACAGGCATCACAGCCTATAGCGGCCTGCAATGGCGACCTTTGGTGCCGACCCCGGACCAGTGTCTAACAGGTTCCTAAACTACATTCCCCTCGAATGGAAGAGGGAAATGATTGCTCATGATAGAATCAGAGCAGACTTCTCCTCAAACGAGGAGATGGTAAAAGCAATATCTCGTGTAGACGAGATAATCGACAGGCTGAAAATGTCTTCAGCCTACAAATCAGGATACTATACCCGAACAACTACCATGGCAACTGAGGGCCGTGGTAGAGCCCTCCCATCAGGAAAGAAGGCTCAAGAGCTGAAACCCAGATGGAAAGAGGATACATCCTCAAAAAACTCGAGGAAAACTGACCAAAAGTCAGTTCCAATTTGTGGCAAATGCGGCAAAATAGGGCAAACGAAAGATTGCCCAAGACACAATATAACGAGCGATGAAAAACCAAGGTGCATAGCTGCCATGGAGATTGCAATCACAATGGAAGAAGAGTTGAAAGACTCATCAGATGAGAAACCAGAGAACAACTCTGGTAACTCCGAAGCATCAAGCTTTGAAGTAGAGGACCCATATGAAGGACCTCAATACTCACGGACTCAGAGGGTGAGGAAGTCAATGTTGGGACCATAAGGATGGGCCCAATGTCAGTCGTCGATCACGACGACATAAATTACAAAATCAAACTGGCTGTAGCACGCCAGTTAGAAAACACAGCAGACGAAAGAGTTGCCAAAGCCTTGGTGGAAGCACCAAGAACAGATGCCTTGGGGAAATACACCAAAGTACCCAAGGAAAACAAGGACAAAGGGAAGAAGGACCAAAAGTCCATCGAAACCCAGTCCCCCCTGTTTGATGCGAAATTCCGCATCTCAAAAGACGCAGGAAAATACCCTGCAAACAGACTGCTCTCAACAAAGAGAACGCTGACAGCTCACATAAAAATAGCAGGCATAAAAGCCTACACGCTATTTGATAGTGGAGCCGAAACAGACACTTTATCACCGGACTTTGTCTGTGCGGTCCACATCCCAATTCTCCAATTGGAGAACCCAGTCCTCCTTCAAATGGGGACGAAAGGAACAAGATCACAGATCCTGTTTGGAACAAACGTGGACGTTGAGATTAACGGCCACATAGAAAAACACTACTTCGATGTAATTAACATCGATAGATATGACGCCATATTCAGCACCCCCTGGTTAAACAAAAACCAGGTAAGCTTAGACTTCCGGTCCCACAAAGTGAGAACGGTGAACAAGGGCAACATAGACACCCTTGGAGTAAGCGAAGATTGTGTGACAAGATCACACGGATGGAAAACTCAAGCAAGAGCTCAAGAACAACCAAAAAAGAAGCCCCCCTGACAGGGAGGCAGGATCGAAACACACCTCAGGGTAATCGAAAGAAAGTACCCTGAAGGTTGGCCCAATCCTAGTCTGGAAGGACTAGAACTTCCAGACATACCACATCTGGAAGGTCTCTCCATGAACAA